GCTGGGCATGCTCAGTAGAGAGGTGTTATATAATCCCAACAGCCAAATCTACTCAGTAGAGGGAAGTTAGTCTTCTGAATGACCTTCCACTAGTGGTGCTGGAGAACACTGAATGTTCTAGGTGTTTTCCAGTGGGTATGATGGAACTCGACCAATGAGGAGTCTCTATAAAGAGACCAACTGAGCATGTGCAAGACTCCATTACATAACTGGGAACCACCCCTTTAGTCAAATATTTATTAGATATCATGAATATGTATTAGATAGCAAAACTATAAAAGTCGACTCCACAGCCAGCCTGCACTTCACCTGAGGTGTCTTATTTCTTTCTTTTTGTGTCAAACTTGCCTTTAGCAGGCTGGTATTCTCCCTGGGGCCAGCCTGCTTTTGTCAGGCTATGTTTCTTAACTTTTAACTTGCTGCCCTTGGCTGCTTGCTTTCCTGGAGTCCACCTGCACCTCCCCAGTAGAGGTGTGTATACTTTACTTTTGTGTTAAGCTTATTTCTAAGGCATTGTTGCTCACTCTCTTGAGCCAGCCTACACTTTGTACTAAGTGTACATTTCTTACTTTTGTATTAAACTTGGTGCAGACCTTGCTCAGTCTCTGGAGCCAGGCTGCACTTTCTCTGTGAAGCCTATACTTGTACCGTTACTTGTTTGCACTTTGTACTATTACTCTGTCCTTGAATTCTTTCCTGTGGCAGAGTCAAGAACCTGCTAGAGGATGTGGTCGGTTGAGGCTGACTACTGGGCCTTACCAGACCCTTTCCTCCGATATAATTGGTATGGTAATACCTACTGTGTACCTAATGGGTCAGATGCTGAATGTATTAGGTACTCTACCATAACTATCTCACCTAACTCTCACATAAAAACACTGAAGTTTAGAAAGTTTAGATGTCACACAGTATACTTCCCTCCAAGTATCACTAAACTTACTGCTCTTCTGGTCAAACTTCTGATCAAGGGAAGTCTTTCTTGGGAAGCCCTGCTGTACGTGTTCCTTGCCCTAGAAACAGCCCTCCAATAAACTCACCCTTAAGAGAAACCTTAAGACACACCTTCACTTTCTCTCAGGAATCCTCTGGAGCACTGTCACAGGTACCTATATAGTCACCCTAATCAGTGGCAGTGTGTGGGCAACTCAGCCCCTCCCAGGACACTCTGACTTCCATTTCTCAAGATGCATAAAAGCTCATCAGACCAATATCTGAAAAATCTCTTTTCAAAAAGATGCGGCAGTTTTCTGGCTCCACAATGTTAATATTAATATGCAGGGTTAGGCAGCCTGGTAAGTGCATTGTAGCTTGCTGCATTAAAAGATCATGTGGTTTCCATAGCAACATTCCTTCACTTTCCAGGGAGGATTTTATCATCTCTCCTTCCCACTCACTCTCCAAAATGAATTGATTTTTGTGACTAGAGTTGTTTGTCCTTGGTACTGCAAAGAAAAACAACATATTCATTTAACACACACACACACACACAAAAAAAACCAACAAAAAAACCCTGACTAGCTAGAATGCTGCATGGCATCAGCTGGTTTTCTTTTCTTTTTAAAATTCCATATCTTTTCTCCATTTTGCTCAGTCTAGCCTTATCCTTCATTTTGGGAAAAAGGTTTTTCTGACAGAAAACAAACAGATGGCAACTCCATCATCCTAACTGGCTATGATAAGGCTGTAAAATTAAGTGTTCACAAGGCTCCCTGCAAGCCTGGGCTTGCACTGCATGGGTGGCTGACCTGTAGTTTATGATTGGAGCGGCAGGATTAAGGCTCTCTACCCACATATGGCTTCTCATACAGGGTCACAGTCTCTGAAATTTTGCCATTACAGGTTTGTTTCCTTAGGCTAGTCATACTCTCCTGGCAATTGCTCTTAAATTGCAAATATTCTTGGGAGGAGTATAAATTAGGTTATGGTCACTGAAAGAACTTGGGAAAGAGAGAAGAAAGTTCAGAGGGAAAGGTATAAAAGGGGCTTTGAAGACCACCTTTGTCTGTTTCACAATAACATCTGCAAGGGGGCAGTGTAGGTCCTTGTCTCTCTCTCTCTCTCTCTCTCACACACACTCTCTCTCTGCAGATGCCTTCTGACAATTACAATGAGGTGGTGAATTCACCGAACAGGACTACACACACACACACTCTCTCTCTCTCTGCAGATGCCTTCTGACAATTACAATGAGGTGGTGAATTCACCGAACAGGACTGTTCCCTGAAACACCTGCATACAATCCTGCTGGAAGACTTTTGAAACACAAGCCCTGCAGTGACTAAAAACTCCTATCTCTGTCCCCAGTGCTATTTGTTTAACCCTACAGTTTCAACGGACTAAAGGTAGTTTTCCTTTGGTTAATGTGGAAAGCACCAAAATGTCACATTGCTTTGTTAAAGTGGATTACAGTGAATCAGTTTACTCGTGTGGTTTAATATGGCCCTCACTCCTCAAAACACAGAAATTTATTTTTCCCCAGTTATACTGTTACCACAACTGTTGCAACTAAAATGTCTCCGTAACCAAAATGTTGCTCAGCCCCCTTCCAATGGAGCACTTACTAAGCAATGTTTAATGGAACATAATTTGAACATAAAATTATATCTGTGCACACTGTCTTCAAGTCTTTGAATCAGGCCTCCACCTATAGACGTTGGTTACCTATCCAGGAGCACCAGGTGATACTAAGATTCAGTGTGTAAAAGGCAGGAATCACTTCCATGTCACTGACAGGAAACTAAGTATATTTGTCAGCATTGTCCAGAGAAACAACCAATAGGGTGTGTATACACATAAGAATAGATTTATTTTAAGGAATTGGCTCATGTGATTGTGGAAGCTGGGTGAGTCCAAAATTTGGTGGGGGATCCTGGCAGGCTAACCCAGGAAAGAGTTGCAGTTCTAGTCCAAAGGAAATCTGCTAGAGAATTCTCTCTTGCTTTGGATGAGGTTGGCATTTTGTTCTACTCAGGCCTTCAACTGATTGGATGAGGTCCACCAACATTATGGAGGGCGATCATCTTTGCTCCACAGATTCAAATGTAAACCTCATCCAAAAACACCCTCACAGAAACATCCAGAATAATGTTTGAGTATCTGGGCACTGTGGCCCACCCCAGTTGACTCACTAAACTAATGGTCATACTGGGTCACAAAGGGCTGTCTGTGTTCAGCAAGAGTTGACCTTGGTTAAACCCTGACCCCGCCCCCACGTGTCACTGTTCTTTATCCTGGATTCTACTATCTCCATTTGATCATGTCATCATCTTCTCTCCCCACCTTTCAGGAACCTTTCCTCTCTGGCTCTATCCTAAGTCCCACCTCCTGACCCCCGGAAAACCCCTCTAGCCCTAGGAAAATGATGTTAGTCATTTACACTATAGGATGAATTTAAATCATTCTGTTAGCTGTCTTACCTATTTTCTCACTGTAAAAGGAAAGCATATTAAAAGAATTTCAGGGATCAATGAAGAGCTGAGGGAGGTTTTTTTTTTTTTTTGAGGGAGAAAAAGAAATTGACCAGCTTACAAATATCAAAACAGAAGGGGACAACCAGATTTTGCAGAAATCAGATAAACTCCAGGGATGTAGAAAACTAGTGGATGGTCTCTTTGGGGTGCCATCATTGCAGTAAATGAGCTCTAGCTATTTTTGTCTTTCTTCTCAGGATAGCCAAGATTGCAGTTGCTTGGGAGACAGAGCATCTGATTGATTGAACTTGGGTTCTGTGCTCACTCCTGGGCCAGGGGAGGTCATGGTACCTTGTCTGACAATCCTTCCAAGGCTGCATGAACTACAGAAGCTGTTACCAGAAAAGAAAGGAGTGGATTTGAGGTAGCAAAAATGTTTATTGCCCATCAGCTGTCACTGCAAGGATTGTTCAGAAGGTAATGCAAAATCAGCTCCAGTCTGTTTTTAAGACAGCCTTGAATGTCAGAACAAGGCACAGATGGGATACAGTGACATGTGGACAATCTAGAGCAATGTCTCAGAATCCTTTCCCTCCTGCTGAATGCTAAGCACCTTAAGCACAAGAGCTATGTCTGCCTGCAGTTTCTTTGGTAGATCCTGCAGGGCTGTGAATGTATTTCTACTTAATTTTTACCACTTGTGAGAGGATACAGACCGGCCTCTCACATTCCAAGATGATAAACATTCCCCCTTTTGGAGAGACTGAAGACATTTCCACTTGCAATCTAGCTTTTCTAGTAAAAACAAAACAAACAAACCAGTGGTATAGGTAAACACATGCATCATTCTCCCACCTTGAAAATGTCAGATCATTGAACTGAGAGCCAAGGTCATCTTCTGGATCTGGTAATCATTTAGACGAAAATCTCTTTGATTTACAGGTTCAAATTCAAAGTATCAAAAAGTGCAAGATGCCACAATTAAGCTAATCTAATCATACCTCTCACTTTACAAATAAGGAAACTGGGGTACATAGAGGTGAAAGGACACAGCTGGTGAGTGACAATCAAGGACAAAGAACCTAAGTTTCCTGACTCCACAGTCCATTCTAATAATTGTTTTTATAGCTTTTGCAATAGATCAGAATTCTTTCCTGATAACCTTTCTTATCCACCCACGATTTAGTTATCATCTGATTTGTCCAACAAAGCACCCTGATTCTACGGTTTGGTGTGAGTTTATAAAACTGGCATGAATTTTTTTCTTCTGTTCCTGGCCCATCTTCAGGTTACTTTAGTTTTATTAGTTGTCGATTTTAAATCGGCTAAGCATGCCCTGCTCTTCTAATTCTGCCCTTTTTCCGTCATGTTGGGGGGAAAAACCACTATTTTTTCTAATTATCTGTAAGAAATAAAAGATAACAAACAATCTGGTGCAAATATCAAGAGAAATATAAGACAGCATGGACAGTAAAAGCATCAAAGAACACACTTGGCAGGGTCTCTCTTCTTGCAGGTGCTTCAAGTTAGCTATTCTGAGATTTCAGTGAAGAAATGGTACAGTGGAAAGGAAACACAGAGATCAAAAAGGCCGAATTTACAGCATATTTTATTTAAGCTCCACAGCATATATTGTCTAAAATCAAACAACGCTGGAGAAACTAAAAACGTCGTTAAAGATACAAATTGCCTTCACAAATGAATATAAATATAAAGGTTTAATAATTAAAAATATATAAATAATCACAATTCACTTTTAAGTTTAACTTGAGTTTTCCGGGCTACATATAAGCTAAAAAGGAAAATATTGACAATTTCCAGGAACTAGAAAAAAAAGTACGCCTTCGTAGAAAAGCCTGAATTAATGCAGAATTTGAATTCAGAACCAACTGCTCACTGCTGATCTTCGTTGGGGGAAGGCCAGTAACCGCGCTGGGTGCTCCCACGGACGTGATCCATTTAAGTGGGCCTGGAAGCGTGAAGCTAAATGGCCATTAAAGGGCGAACAGCAAATGGCAAAGAGATCAGTGATTAAAAGCATCAAAAGCTTTTAATCACAAATACAAATTCTGGCGCAAAGGGCCAGCTGTGATGAGAATCGTAAAAGAAGCCCTCGAGGGAGCGGCGGGCGGAGACTTACTCTTCAGAAACACCGCCAGGGTCACGGCACGATCGCTCCCCCAGCTTCCATCCAAAATGGCGCCGCC